TAGATTGTATCTTTTGCGTGTCTAACAAGACTACTAATGTTACCCATGCCAAGTCAGAACGCAAAGCAGCACATTCGTCAATCAACTGCACAACTGAAACAGAGGAGAACGCCTTCCGTGTTTGGATGGTCATCTGACTTGACAGATCAAACAACACAGTTCACGTTGGCTCAAACAGGACGAACGTGGAACTGTCAAACTAGATCGTCGTTCATCTGGTAGAGACGGGACACTTAGTTGACATGTGCTCGGCATTTACAGCCATTTATCGAGTCTCATCACAACCCTCGAGAGCAATACGGTTACGGACGTTAGCAAACGCTGAGGCGATTAGCATCCGACTCATGATGCCTGAGCTGCGCGCACAAAGCTAATTTGGAGTTCTATCAGACTGCTTACAAAACACATGACTCGTTTACCTTTCTTTTTCCCCTTATTGAAATTGTTTCATAGAAATATGATTGGTAAGGCTTGGAAAGGACTTCACCGACAACGTATGTTAGCCTGCATTGTGTTCTTAAACACAATACCACAAAATAAACGTATTTGTTTGCAGAAACAAGAAATTCCAGTGATAAATTTGAAAAGAGGGAGCCAGTATAGCAACATTGCACGATTCATGTCCGAGACAATTTCGCTGCATTTCAACTGGTTCCTACTGCAGACAAATTCAATGTATGTATATATGGTTTAGAAATGGATTAAAAAATGAACAAAGATAAAGGGGGAAGAGTCAACAAGGCAAAGCCAGTCCTTTGAGTGACACAGAATTGGTTTTCATCGTTTAATCGCAATCGCCTCGGTGATCTTGAGCATTCTGGTGTTATCACCAGCAAACATTAATCAAAATGCTTTCTCCCGATCGACAAGGTATTGCGTCATCAACGAGGTATTGGCAATCGATGAGATTGGTGTTTTGTAAGCAACACACTGAGATACTGAGAATATTATTGCCACATCTGCTGTATAACGTATCTCGTTTCAGTAAATTCTAAGCTCGAGATTTCAAGTGTGGCATTATTAAATCCACCACTGCCGTGCACAAAGGGCTTCCCATGGCCACAACATCAACTAGTCAATATGCCTTTCCTTGGAATGACAAATTTGAAGTACATATCACCAAGATTCTTACCGCAACGGAGGCCGGTAGACCAGTTCTCACTTGTTCTGTACACGATTAGACCTCCAAAAATGCACGAGGCTCTACGTCCGGTCCCATGATAGCAATTCGGTCTAGCTTCAGTTCGATTTAGCTGGTCTAGATTCACCTCATGGATGATTATTTTAGAAAGGAAAACAGGATATTTTTCGCAGTGCCTATTAATATTGTGAACAGCTGAAAGAGTTAGTCCCTTGTTCATGAAAAGTTACAGAATATATTGTTGGAAGTGGCAACTCATCACCTGTGAGGTTGAACAATGAACTGAAACAGGCCGCAACAAGAAAAGCGTGATATCAAGATGGGCATTAGTGAAGCTACGTGCTACACTCGACCCAACATGAAACCTACCCGGATTGTAGTGCCAACCTTTTGACCTTGCAGATAAGATTTAAGGTGGGTTTGTAGTGACCAAAATCTGTTAGATAGCATCACTGGATACAAAACAGCAATGGAAGCAGTCACTCCTGCGTGCGAAAAGCATTCAAACTTGCCAGGGTTCTTCCGTGATCGTTTGAAGAGAAGCCAAAGTGAAACACCCTACTTAAGTTATTGAGTAATTTGGCATTGACCATGGTATTGCCAAAAGCTATGTTACAACCAACCATCACCCAGTCAATTTGACCCACTCTTAACTTTTACGAGATTCAATCACGAACCAATACTTTGTTGTGGTGGTCTCTTCAATTATAAGGTTTTCCCTTTTAAATCATCTACATCCTGTTTTTATAGAATGAAACATTATGCTTAATCATTCCTTTTTCGAGGTCATGATACCCTGTTGGATGATCTTTGAACTCGACTTTGATCCAAAAAATATAGAATTTGCTGAAAAAGCACTTCCTGCTGTGACATTTTCTCGGGATTAAAATGTTCGTTTTCTCTATAAGCGCAAGAAGAAAATAAATAAAACCTCAAGTTGGCAAAACTGCCTCAGTGGATGGAGCAATAATTATGGATGCAGTCACAAAAGACAGTCTCATGAGAGAAATGAAAGATGTCGTTTGACTATAAGATGAAGTTCGTCGTTTACGGGACAAATGATGCGTGAACTGACAAATTAGGAAGCACTGGACAGCGGTTTCTACTGTATCGTGTTTATCAAAAAAGGAAAAGGGCCCGAACAGCTGCTCAATGGCAGAGTGTGTAGTATGCTTGCCTTTTACCCGTGAGGTCCCGGGTTCGATCCCCGGTTAGATAGCTACATTCGCACTACTGATGAGACCCAACCAGGTCGAAACTGATGACCAGTACTTCCCAGCTATTCAGATCACGCTTTATTTGCTCTGTACACGACGGAGTTTACCACTGTTTGTTACTTTATGTGAGGAATATAATTGCCTAGGCGGGGTCAACTCGTTTATTCCACCAAGCCATCCATTCCTCCTGCTGCCTCTCATCTGTATAACTGCATTCCACGGTTTGGTTCCCTATCACTAACTGACTCATTCTGTTGGTTGCATATGGGATTTCAGTAGTTGGGAAACAAATTGCTTATATAAATATTAGTTTAAATGGGATATTTTCAGTCTTTCATGGCCCTCAAACGATCTTCGAATGTCAGATTTATCGGTCACTTGAAATTGTTCTTCTCCGCGAACTCTAATATCACAATTAACAGCCTGGCTAGACTAGTGGTTATTTTTATGTTAGCCCCTTTGGTGAATTAAGCTTCTTTATTATAACGACAATATGACATTAACTACTGGCGAAACGTTCGGAATACCAAGTGCAATGTCCCTAATCTTGTTAGTGCAGAAGTCATTTCACTAGGTCCAGCCGAATTGATATAATAATTGGAATTGGCAGTTACGTTGAATCACAATCGTGAAAAAATTGTTCCATAATTAAACGTTTGAGGCCTGGATAAGATAAAGTAGCTTATTTGTTTCATGGCACATTCAGTCAATAATGAATGTTTTTGATTAGAGTAAACTCTTCTGTGTTTGCTCTTATCAGTGCACACAACGGTAGGAAAATGCTACTACATCGTGTTTTTGCCCTCCTGAAGCTCAAGGTCATACAGTGAAAGACCACCTGAGCGCATAACTCACCCGGGGGTAATTTCAGAGATTGTCAATCAGCTTAATTTATCGTAGAACGTTCTTTCCAGGGGATTTCGTCTCAAGGGGTTCTTTTATTTTTTGAAGGCGTTCATCTACTGCGTACTACGCCCGAGGCAGACATAACTCTACTTCATCTCCCTGCTTTTCTCATAGAATTTTTTTATTCATAATGAAAGAATCGTGCAGTATTTGTTTTATTTCACAGGGAAAATAAACCACATCCAGAGTATGGCACATATGCTGATCTTGGAAATTCTCCAACGATGAACAATCGTTTCACCCAGACTCAAAATATTCCAGAAATTTGGTTTCGGGATGGTCAGTGTGATGTGCGCGAAAATTGAGCACTGACCCAACTGTGATCGAAAATGCGCACACTGCTGGCCAGTCATAACAAGGACGAAACCGTTGTTGATCACAGAGAAATATATTTATTTTCCAGTTCCGATTAAATAACTGATTTGCTTGTGAAGCTAGACAATTTCTTATTCCCCTGGACAAATAGTGGTGTTGAAAACTTCGTCCGATCTTATAAAACATTGAGTTCCTCCAACAAATTTGAGTATAAATGTCAAAACAGTGTTTTGAGGATGATTCCACTCCATGTATACACGTGCATTCCGCACTCGAGAAGACTGTTGTTTTGGCAGTGAAGCCAGGTCGAGACGAAATTGCTATTCATAACAATTGAGATTATCGAATCGGAATAGGAGGAATAATTCATCGAAGCCACTTAAACGTGATAAGCTATTCACATTTTTACGGTATTTGGGTTGGCAACCATAGATTGTCTGGAGTAAGCTTTACTTGACGATCCGATTTGATCACTGGCCTCAACAACACTGACTTGTGCAACCTCGGTGAAAGAAATGCTGCCTTCATATGTGCCAACTCCAGTAGTATCAACTATTTCCAGTGTGAATGTTCCAACACGTACATAGATAGAACAGAGAGACAGTTACGTAACTGGATTGACAAACAAATCCCAGAGTAGAATAAAAAAAGATTCAACAGTCATCGGAACCTATTACGTGACCATTCAGACAGAAACAAATCTTTTATCACATACCGTTTAGACGCTGGTGACTACTGTGTAAGTATAGTCTTATCATTTCTTCTCGAACTCAATAGACCAAGCTTGTTCAAATATGAAAAGGCATTGGTCGTCCACAATCACGTACCCGATCTGGGCCGATCGCGTTAGCTATGTTTTAGTAATCAAATATCACTAGGCTATTCCAATGGAAGATGCGTTATAATTTCGTTGTTGTACCAGGTTTCTTGAATAAAATGACCGAAAAACATCTGACATCCAAGTACAATTTCATGTGAATCATTCTCGTTATCTCATCGTTCACATAATGCACAGCCAAACCATCAGCTTTATGTCATAAAAACGATTTGCTTTTGACAAGTAGCGTCTAACGTTGATGTCCGTATTGCTTGTATTCGTGGATAACCATCAAGTCATAAAAATAAATAAAACTTAGCATTCAGCTGAGAAGAACGAGTACCTCTTCTTGTAAGATTTTCATCGGATTGCTAGTGTGATCAACGAAGAGCAAAATCTTGCACCTAATTCAAACAAAATATTGTATTTAAATTTTTCCACACAGATTTACAATTGTATCTTGTATTTTGCAACTATACAAATTGAAATCAATCACAGCTGTGTAACTGAGTGAAAACGAACAGAGCAAGTTAATGTTTATCTTCTCTGTTCGTTTCTCAACAAAAAAGAGTGAGAAATAAAAGCAGAAGAAGCGAGAACAGTACTACCGTCGATCACACAATTTTGTCTCCCCATGGATTGGAGTCGTTTCCTCCTCACTTTCGCGATCCGTGTACGCCCAGGATTGTTCTTCACTCGACCCAAATATGAGATAGATCAACATTGCACAGAACTGGCTTAATGCGGCCAAAGCGAGGGCTACTCGCCATCCATTCTTTAACTCCAAGCCAAATTTGTGTACAACTATAGAGGCGGTCAAAGTAGAAAGAATGCCTGGAAGAAAATGCAAACAAATCAGAAAGACAGATGGCAGAAAATAAACCTGGTACACTTTCGATCTCAATAAATGTAGACTTTGAACAAGTGTGTAGATACACTGTACAACAATCCATGGGACACCCGGTTCAGAAAAATAATGTGAATGAGAGAACGGATGATTGAAGTTGAGCACTCATGTTTGATGAATCAATCACTAGTCTGTTCACATCTTATAGAGATCTAGTGTGTCTAAGTGCTTGTGTTTCACTTGGGCAAAATCCTTGAGTGGTCAACTGGGATTCAACAGACGTACTGTCACCATAAGCCTGTGATAATCAACCTCGGTTAGCTCTGAATACAACCTATCATGCACTATTATACCGATATACTCACAACCTCAGATCCCATGAGAGGAAGCTAGTAGGAAAAAGCATTTTCCATTTGTAATTATTTTCTTTGTGGATGATGAAAAAGAGCATGTGGAATTCATTACAATCTTGTTTGTCTTCTGATTTTCCAATGGAAATTCATTACAGAGTCTTGAAATTCACTTATTATTTGACGGCCAATTCCTTAGGACTGGGTAACTATTAGATGGTAGGCAACACAATATTTGATACGTTCATGGTTTTTGTAGAGGAAAATGTAGGTACTGTCACTTAAGCGATGTTATACAAACGCGGCGTTAGCAATAGGTTTGCTGTACCTGTAACCAAGGCGGCATATTTAATGCGCACCATTCACCAAACAGTCTATAATGTCGTGTTGGAACATGAAGTTGTTGTACGTCGATTTGCGAAGAAAACAAATAACTGATTCAATGGGCAGGACTCAATCACAGCTTATTTTGCTCTGGTCTGTATATTAACTTCAGGAGCCTCGTGCCGCAGAGAACGTAGCCTATGGAGATCAACCATTTGTTCCAGTGGACGACCATAATTAACTAAAACTCTGCTTCTAACCTCAGTATTACTTGTCTAATTTCCATACCAGGGGGCTGTAGGGAAACGTAAGCAACGATGTTCAAACACCAACAATGGACCTCCATCCTGTTTTCGTAATGGCCAAGTTTCTGCGCTATATAGCAAAACAGGCCGAACTGCCGCAGCATACACTCGACACTTCACGGACCGCCAAATGTCGTGACGGCCCCAAAAATGTCTCAAGCTGGCTATTTTTAATCGAGCCTTATGTATGACAGTTGAAAATTTATCCACGATGCGTCCACCGGGTAAGAGGTAACTGTCTGAGTAGCAAAATGTGTTAACAACATCTATTACACCACCAGTTATAATGAGGTTGGGAGCAGTCCTGCAGCAGTATTTTACACTTTGAAGGTGCAGAACACATCCAGAACATAGTTACTCTAGCACTCAAAGTATCCAGGAAATCTAGCAACTTAGCTGAATCTTCCCCTAGTAATGCAAAGTCGTCTGCATACTCCAGATCAGACAGTAGGCAAACGACATTATACTGTATACTGTCTGATCAAATTCCTCAGGTGCGCGAGATCTGAGATAACCAAACATGACAGTGAGTTAGATCTTCAAGTCAGCCTGAATAATGTGCTAAATTGGACAAAAGGCTATGCATCGCCGAGTTAGTGGTAAGTGAAATGTTTCACCGGATACTGTGCACACATGCACAGGTGGTAGCGTTTCCCATTTGATTACACCGCCCCCCCCCTCTGTCATCTCCCTGCTGTTATCATTTGAGGTTTTTGTTTTGAGTTCATCGATCAGATCATCCGTTTCCCGTTACGTCACGGTTTGAATGCCTTTCACTTCCTGTCCTCGCGCGCAACCGGCTCTCATTTCCATTGATGCATTCCTACGTATTGAAGAAACTTTGCCCAATAACCGGTATTCTAGCCATCTCAAAACCCCGCCAGAGATGAGGCCATAGTATTTCTTTGCATGAGACTTTCAATTTCATATACCACCTTCTATTAGCATAGTCTGTTAAAATCAATGACAAAAGATAAATACAGCAATCGTAAAATAACGACATGAACAAATCCCACCTACCTGTAAATGTACTGACACTATTTGCAAATCCCATAACCAATCCGGAAAAATTTGGAGCCAAATCGATGACATTGACAGCGTACCCGGCCACAGCAAGCCCGGAAAATCCTATTTGAATTGAATGAAGCGTTTGAAATGCGATTGAATACTCTAAATAGTCATAAAACCTGGAGAAATTGTGGATCTTTTTGAAGCTTTGATAAGTGATTTATATAACGTTTTTCAGAACAAATTGTGAACTAAATTTCAGAAATATGATTGCATATACTTTATCAATATAAAATATCAGTTAATGGTTCTAAAATAGTATTCGCCAACAGTCTGACCTATCTGGTATGCTTTTTTGTTTTTTAAAACACAAATGAATTGGTGGGATGAAATCAAGATGACTTCGTTTTGTCTCTCTACCTTGTCAGGTCCCTCACTTTCGTTGAAACTCCAAGTGGCCATCAAAATTTCCGATTACATTAGGTCACGTGACTTGAGGATTTCTGCAATGACCAAGTTTTTTCCCTCACATCTGTCTATGGGACAATTTGTGCTTGCAGAGTAAAAAATAAAAAATAACTGTAATAGGTGATTAGAGTATGTCAGAAACCAGTGGGAAAACAAACAGTGCTATGAACGATTGCAAGCGGAAAAACGGAATAGTTTCGTGGGGTTACTTACCCAGAGATAAAGAGAGCAGCACTGTGGCATAGATTTCCGTGGGTGCAAATCCCAGTGCAACAAAGAAAATACCTTTTAGACCAAACCCAAGTCCGGCAAAAATTTTTCTTATTGTGGTCAGTGAAAGACTGGTTTTAATACGTAGAAAATCCGCAAAAATTCCACCTGTAAATGCATAAAAGATGAGAAGCAGGCATTAACTCTTGCTTTTCTAAGCATCTACAAGGACGTTTAATACAAGAAAGCAGACAAAACTTAGTGCACTCAATCATTTCATTCCATGATGACAAAGCATATTTTGAGGATTTGGTCGTGCTCTTCTTGATAAAACGCATAGCTTTTAAAATTCAGTTTAACCATCGTGTGAACACCTGTATTTCGTCACAATCTCGCCTTATGCTTGACCAACCTAAATGTGTCTGATGATCCGCTGCTTGCAATAGATCGGTTTCACATATACTGAGCAAAACAGAAGGTGTAAATCTCTTTGAATGTATCTTATTTCCAATAAATAATTAGGAACATAACTCCAATAAGAGTTTACGTTTTATGCAGAGCAATTCCTCAATCATTTTGTAAAAGTTTGTGCAATCCGGTGAGTTGGTATTTTTCAATCGGAGTTGGCAATGAATACATTTTAACGACCAGTGCTTCCGCGAAATCAATTCGGTTACGTTAATGCTAGTGAATCAATCTTTCGAGTGAAGTTAAAAAGCGCTCATATATCAGCGGACGAGGACTGTGTGATCAATAGGATCATCGTATAAATTACGTGTGCCATTGTCTGTTTTTACGTGGCGGAAACAATGGCCACGAAAAATTACGGGCAGAACGCTCTTGCACATTTCCTTGCAAATATTTCTGTGACACGTAGTATCCATCCAATGGTTCCCATTTGAAATGTCTTCAGTTTTTTATATAAGTGGCAAGTTCAAAAGCAACGTAACAGTTACAGATGAACGAAAAAACACAAAGTTTGCACTTGTTGATCGATTTTTCAGGGAGTGCTTCACTAAAACGAACAATCTGGGTAGAATAAAGCTTTCAAAGCCCAAACGTGAACGTATTGTAGAATAAGAATTCATTCCACTGTCCGCAATTAAACCACGGAACTCTTGCCACGGAAAAATAATTCATTAGAGCGAACGATCTATTTATCCTAGACAGCTACGTTTACAGAGCTTTCAAACTTAACTGGATTATTTATTAGATTAAAACTGAATTGTTAGTTCAAGCTGTGTAATCCCCAAACCATGTAATTACACAAGTGCAGGCAGAAAAACAGTGGTTTGCACGAACGCATTGTTCACAATAACACTCAAAATGGACTTACCAATAGGTACAAACATAGATCGTGAAAGAAATGGAAACGAAAGGAAAAAAATTGTCCGTTCCACATCCACTTTATAGAGTTGCTGATAGAACGATTGCATACACACTGAGGAGATTTGGAACGTCCAATCATCCGCTGCGTAGGTGAAAAATATAGCAAAAATAGGCCGTGAGCGAAAAATCGATTGCCAAGGTATGGGGATTTGTCGTTTTGCACACAGAATTCTTCGTGCCACACTTGCGTGCAAATAGGCGCGTTCACGTTTTCCAAGTCGCTCATCTTTGGCCGGTTTCTCGTCGATTAGACGCCACCAAAATATGCACCAAATTAATCCGAGATTAGCGTAAATATAAAACACAACTCCCCAACCCCATTTTTTTTCAATTTCCGCACATACTGGCAATCCGATTAGTGGACCCAAAGAAACCCCGATTACGGCAACACACACAAGGGTGGAGCGTTCAGTTTCCGGGCTCCAAAAGCGCAGTACTCCAAACACAGCTGGAATCAAACAACCTTCGGCTAAACCTTGAAGTAGACGTAGAAGAACTACCATAATAAATTTAGCCTGCACATTATTACCAATTGTTTCTACTAGAGGTAAAAACAGATTCATACCACATGTCATTGCAACAGAACAGCCTAGGAGAAACGATGAGTCATGATTCACAGTGAGATATCCACCGATTGGACTGGTGATGAGATAAGCAAAAAATACTGCATTTTCCGCAATATCGTTTTTGATTGTTTTAGTCCATGGCATTTGACGGTGTTCGGAGGGTTTAAAAATCAGTGAAGTCGCCGGTTGATTCATCTCAGGTTGCAACCCCGATACATCATGCAATGTGTCTATCTCCTCCCCGGGTAGGTGACCTTCAACACCGGCTGGATCGAGTAGATCATCTTCCGGTTTGGAGGCTGGTGCACCATGAATGTGTTCATTGGAACCGGATAATCGATTTACAACTGATCCACTGGGATTTGTATTGTTCAAATTGGTAATAATCCCGAGCATTTCCGAACGCATCCCTATCACAATTGTGAGACAGGCACAGCACAGGAAAGCAATCAGATATCGTTTCCGACCGGGTCCACAAAAGCAAGCATCCGAGCAGTGCACCAGGTGTGAAGCATTTTGAAGCTGGGATTCATCGGACCGGTTCGGATAGGACTGTTGTGTGCACCCGATGAGTTCCAAATTTTCCACATCAAGTGAAGTTTGCGCATCACTCCTAGCTGTTCGAACCCCGATCGCAGCCTGGTTGATTTTCTGCAAAGCAGGCCGAGGAAACTGTGTTCTGTTCACGTTGGATACACGGTTCAGGTGCGGTAGACCAGTGATGGATGGGGAACGTGAAGAAGCCGAGGAATCCCCACTGAATGATCCGATGAAACTGCCTCTGGCTGCATTGTGATCGCAAATACAATTGATCTGATCGTGCACGCTCAAGTCGGTCTGCGGAAGATGACAAATGGTGTTGAACATTGGAGTCTATGTTGGCCTGCTCGTGACTGTTCACCACATTATAGTCATAATGCTATTAGTGGTAGTAATGATAATAAAAGCGTTGCATATATGGTGCGTGAATTTGATGTGCTCATTCGGACTGCATAGAATCATGCGATCTCATATGGACCAGCAGTTTTCGTATATCCGAGGGATGGAACTGATCCACAAGATACATCCGCTACATCTAGTCGGAACAAAATGAAAGGTCCTGGGGTTATTTGTCAACTGTTCGAGTTCTTCTACTGGCCTAGCCAGTGAGTTGACGGTTATGGTCGTTTATGCTAGTTTTAGAGCGCTTGTGTGTATGTGTGTATTAATATATCTGTGAAAATGAATGTCCGCGACTGGATGGATATATACGCGCTAAGCAGCTGTAAACGTCTGTCACAGTTTTCATTGGTTAGACCCGACTGAATACAGACAATCGAACATACCGTGGGAGAGCGAGGGAAATAGATCAGTATGTGAGCTAAATAGGGGCGATCGTCGAACAGACACAAACAGTGGTGACACAGTTCGGACTTTGACGATTCACACCACTACCACACACAATGAGACAGACGTGTCCTTTCAGCCCACACCCGATCCACTCGCCTGAGGCAAGCAAACAAAGAAGGCATAGTAGCTATAGGAGAACAAGATAAAGTATTTCACTTCGGTTCACCCACCCATCAACCCACCAACCCACCTACGCCGTGACCGCCGCTTGGGACTGTGTGAGCATGTGAGTGCTCAAATACCCTTGTCGCATTCACGCGTGTGCCCACACATACATGCATGCAAGCATGCATGCATGTACTTGGCTGTGTGTGTGTTTATAAAACACACGGACGACTTGCGAGGCTAACATGAAAATGGGAAATGAATCTTTGCATTGTTAAAAAATACAACCTCCGAAAAAATTTCTCATCTATTTGTGTAAACATTCAAAACGTCCCGGGGACTTTGCCTCGAATGAATTTAGGAAAGGAAAAGCATAAAGCGATCAAATACCATATTGGGACACTGCAAGTAATATGAAATGAAAAATGCAACCATGTGTTTGCTGACTGACTGCAAAACACTATATAATCTGCTTGTATCTGAGCTTGACAGAGTATTTTGGCTAGTATGTAGCCGAAGGACCGTAAGTTTAAGTGGTTTCAATTTGAGAGAAAACACTGCCCCAGTGCATTTAGTTCGGCAAAAGATACATTCGATTAGAAGCCATTAGAGCCTGATTCGTCCCATTGACCAATCAGAAATTTAAGAGATTGTATTTTAGGCGAACTGGGGAATTTGATTCATTCTGGCTGAATATGGACTAATCTTTTTGCTTAAATCGAATGAGTATCCAATAGAAGGTGAAATTCAGGGATGGAACAATGGAACAGTGTAGGGATTTGTATGTGTAAACTAAAACCCGTAAACTAAGCTTAATTCGTGCTCATACCTGTTTTCTGCTATTGAAGTGAATAGTCCCGACAAGGAAGCAGCAATAGTAGAAAAACAACTCAGAGGTGACGTATTTGAATCCTACCAACCAAGCCCAGCCTCAGACTCACTGTATCCCCCAGGTAGCCAATGCTCCCTTTCTAAGCATTATTTGTAAAATTAAATTTTAAGTAACTGAAAGGAGGAAAGAGAGATATTTGGTCATCGATTTATTCTCAAATTTAGCAGTTTAAGCAGAGCATTCAGTGAGCTTATGAGATGTCTACTTCGTGGAAAACTTATATTCCTCTGGTGTTTCCCACCCAATGTGCGCAAACTCAACCTTTCTCTCCATTGGTCAACTGCTTTCCAGTTTCTCACTGCCCTGTGAAGGAAAGCTTTCGGAATGGGCTGTAGAGAGCGCTAGATGAAGATAGATGAAACATATGTTTGACCCCACTCTTTTCCATGAATTTGGAAACTATGTTCAAACTAATTAGAAGCAACCGAAAATTAATCTGAATCGTTATCTCTAGTAGTATTACAGTGGAACGGAAAACGCAAATTTTATCACCACTCATTTGAAATATGGTCTTCAAGGGTTTTGTCTTATTTGGAAATATTCCGGAATGGACTACCGGTTACAAAGGTGCCAGGTGAAATGCTTTCGGTAAGCATGAAAATAACTTAACGCCATGTACGTATTTTGGCTGACTACCCAGTAAATGTTATTCTGGGGGCAGTGTGAATTTAAATTGGATAATTTTCTAAACCTTCTCTAAACTAATTTTGATAATGTTTTGGTAATTTGTCTACAGTTTCATTGCCTATGCGTTGTCGGAAGGCATTGGATCATGATAAATATCATGAACACAAAGAAATATGGACATTCCAGTAAAACCGTTTGCATCATATCTTATTGAAAAACAGCCGAACATGGGCGTGTTACGATACATCCTGCACATTTTTTCAATCGTTTCACAAAAGCCGTTTGCCTGAATGTGGAAACAGTCTGATTAGGATTTTCTTCCGGTTGATTACTCTATCAGTCCCTAATGTGTGCCAGCGGAAGGAGCGACACGCTTTTCTTAAAAAGACTAATCGGCTTAACTTCCGTTTCAATTAATATCAGACCACAACCGGAGGATTATCACAGGAACAGAAAAGTCGCCTTGGTTACTTTGTTTGCACTGTTTCTTTTCCACTCAGCGATTCCAACTGGGTCGATCAGACACGATAAGCAATCACTCTTCTGATGCTTAACACACCGTCTGCGGGGTTATCATGACGTTTCTGGAGAGCCTATTTCTTGTGCTTTACTTCACACCGACATACACGAACACAAACACACGTTGTTTTCGCAGCAACTGAGGTTTTATATTTATTTTACCACTCAGTGCTGTTATTAGTGTGCCAATGAAACGCAAGCGCGTGTGTGCTTCATGTGTATGTGCTGAACTATATGTGAACAATAGATTGCCTACTCAATTGAGAAACAGGAAAACGTCTAATGTGGAAACATTATTAAAAAGATCCTTGAATGCTAAAAAATAACATCTTTCCGCATAGACTTACGCTTATCATGTGTACATCATTTGCGAGCGCACTGGATCCCCGGGAGAGATGATTTTTTTCTTCAAATACTTGTGACTGGAAAGTAGTTAATTTAAAGATTTCTCGTGCGCCATTTGCGATTCAGGTTGGTGGTTGGGAGAACGGATCAGCTTTTCAAGTTTCTTATCGCCAGGAATTGATCGATAGGCTTTAGATAAGTAAGCAGGGAGGCCCTTTTTCGAATTCTTAATTGTTGAGGGTCTTGCACCCTTTAATGCTTTCAAAAACCCAGCGTATGGATAGAGTTACCAGTTTACAGGTTTATACGCAACGTTCGCATCCAATGTGTCATTTGTGATCCTGGTTAAACGTTTTGTTTTAGATGATGCATCACTGTCAATAAATGTAATAGCAAAAGCACACCGCTTAGTGCAGGTGGTAAACGTCAAACGAGCGGGACCGCACAGTGGCACTCTTGTATCCACCCTGAACACTCAGATCACGTGCATCAGGTCACTTTGGTCCTCCAAGGCCAATGTTATTTTCCACTGTTCTTTAACCAACGCATATCATTTCTGACCATGATGTGTGTTCATACAAGTTTTCTTCAGCAAATTACCATGTGATGTCACACTCTCTTTGGTCGATAATATGACGTTTTGTGATGGTGGAAAAGACAATTTGACTGAATATGGAGAGGGGAAATACAAAACCGCAACAATCAAATTCTTTCCAATCTTCCAAATTTCTCAAGTTATGCACAATCAGTCCAACATAGGAATATTATTCCAGTTGAGATGCAGTGAAATCTGCGTTTCCATAAATCACGCGATCTAGATTTGTTGGGTTGTCTCTTAAACGAGAATATTTTATTCCAAAGTCGAGGTTTAATCATACTTCCACAAATGTGTACAATTTTGAGTTTTAGTTCCTCGAACTCGTTTCCGTGTGCTCTGACTCCTTGATCAGGTTAAATTCAGTTACCAAGTAAACATATTCACGGTTCTACCCTCCGCGGTCAACAAGTTCCATTTTCACTGTTTTTCTAATCTTTTTTTCCTGCTCCCTCATTGTTTCTGCAGGTGAATCAATGGACTATTTCACTGTAGATGTGATCAGAACACAGAATTCTTTTCGGTTTTTCAGTATCAATCTGCTGCACTAATATTTGATCGCAAGGTGATAACAAAAGTCACTATTCACAATAAATGTGTTAGCAATGGGTTAAAAAAACGAAAGCCGCTGATGAAAATGGTTTTGTAACTTGCTCATTCGGTATTGATTTTATCATCTGACCGACAGTTGATTACGCCGTGTTTGGTTATAGTAACCACAGCGAATGGATAACCGGAATTTGTTTGGGAAGTTCGGATTAAGTGATTGGAATAGCTATCGCATAATTTATTTTAGTTGGTTGGGCAGATTCATTGGGTCCCATAGATGACCTCAAGTGATCTTTTGACGTTTGCCAAATGACCCGTTTTGTTCAGATGCTCCAAAATTTAGCTGTGTGACTTTTGTTAGTCCTTCTCTCAATCAGACCGATCTTGAATCCGTTCGGTCGGACGATAATGTCAATGTAACGGGTTCCGCGGGATTATGTGAACTGTCAGACCAAAAAGGTAGCGCTGATAATAGCAAACGATCTCCCCACTAGAAAAGCCAAGAATCTATTATACCGTTTCTTTTTCAACGTTTTAGCTTCCAACTCCAAGTGAGCTCCCAGGCCCCCTTTTTCTGAACTTATTCTAAGTTGGTCTAATTCGGTTTTCCTCTAACTTTGGTTTGTTAATTGGTAATCACTCTAGATACACAATGTCACTTATCCCCCCATCCCTAATCAAAGCGCAGTAATCATTTTGATAACCCTCGAACTTGACCGTTTGCTTTTGGATGATGGTACCTACTCAAACCTATCGATACATTCGACATGATGAGTGTTGATTAGCACCATTACCCCGGTTTGGAATCATGACCTCACCGACTGATCAAACTCACCACATGATATT